GACAGGGGACAGAGCTGGGGACGTCATGCCCAGGGGAGAAGACTCCAGGCGCCACAGGAATGCCGCTCCTGCATTTGAAGGCCAGGGCTTCCAGGGAGGACAAGACATGGGCGCACTGACCCGGCACCTCGCCAGGGCCCCTTGGGAATCGGGGGGCGGGGGGACCTCCCTAGAAACTGCCAAGGACACTGAGGCCGCACGTCCCCCCCAAGCCCATCCACAGCCCCTCCGGCTGAGATATCTCACTCGAGAGGTATTCAGCACCTTTCAGGCGACTGAGGAAGACAAATCTTGGGGAGGAAGTCACCACTGGGACAACGCACTTTCTCACGGCCTGAGCTGCCCAGCAGGCACCTGGGCTCCAGCGATCTCCCAGCCACGGGAGGAGCCACGGCCGAGCCTCGCTGGGGCTGACGGGAGAAAACACGAGGCCGTGAGGCCAGCGTGTGCTCAGGCCACGTCTTCTTGTGCTCCGTGTCCCATGAGGGTGCCCGGCCTCTGCGGGCTGGAGCCACACTTGGGAGGTCCAGCGCCTGGGAGCTCTGGGGGGACCCGTCACCAGCTCCCACACAGGGGAGACGGAGGAATGCGTTCTCTGAAGCCACCAGTGGAATTTTAGCTGTAATGTTTTGCTGTACTTGGGTTTGATGTGGGTGTGTCTGAGACGCTCGTCTCTCGGGTGCTGGGACGTGTCCAGTTTCTCTCATCTCAGCCTCGGCCTGAGCCCGACCCCTGCCCGGCTCAGCAGCGCTGCACGGTCGCCCAAGGGTGAAAACAACCCCAAGTCCGCCCAGTGACACGGCGGGAAGTTACTCAGGCTCAGGAAGGAAGGACGCTCCGACACACGCCGGCGCCGTGAGCCTTGACGGCATCCCGCGAGGAAAGCCGCCAGGCACAGGGCACACGTGTGACTCCACGGATAGGAGACGCCCGGAGCACGCGAGTCACACAGACAGAAATAGGACTGGGGCTGCCGGGGCTGGGGAGGGGGTTTCCTACGGGGCTCCTTGCGGGGTACGAAACGTTCTGAGACCGAGAGGTGATAGTTGCATATAACTGCGAATATCCCAAATGCCACTGAACTGCGCGCTTTAAGAGGGTTAAATTTATGTACGTGAATTTACCTAACTAAGAACGTCAGAGAGGGGACAGGGCTGGGCAGGGACAAGAGAATCGAAGATGGAAGCCGGCCCCTGTCTCGGGAGCACCGGCCCAGCACGAAGCCAGAGCCGAGTTCCCGGCCGCCTCTCAGCCACCGAGGCCCTGCAGACGCCACCCCTGCCTCGTGGCCGGAACGAGTCGCCACAGACATGGCGGCTTCAAACAACAGAGCACCCCGCAGCTGTGTAGTTAAGGGTCCCAGGGCTGACGTCAACGTGGTAGCGGGGCTGGTCCCTTTTTGGAGGCTCCGGGGAGAATCCAGCCCCTGCCTTTGCCAGCGCTGAAGCCGCCGCATCCCCCGCCGCAGCCGCCCGCACGCCCACCTCCGCCTCTATCTCGACGTCTCCTCTCTCTGACTCGGCCCCTCCTGCCCCGTCTTATAATTACAGACTTATCTGCATCTATCCAAACCCTCTTCCTGTCGCACTCACAAGGTCCAGGGTGGGGTTGAGATGTCCAAAGTGCTGAGCTGCACACTCACAGCACCCTCACGAGGCAGGCCACGCTCCCAGTCCACAGAAGAAGAGACCGAGGCTCCAAGAGCATCCCTGCCTCAGGTCACTCAGCTAATGGAGATGTCCTTTGTGTCCCTGACCTTCAGTCACAGGGAGAGTGCTACCCTCCACCACCTCCTCCCTCCCAGCCCCGAGGACCCTGAACCAGGACACCCCCGGCCCAGAGGGCAAGCTCTGGCCCCAGCAGGGTCCCAACTCCCCACACACCTTGCTGGTGCCTTGCCACGGAGCCCTCCCTGCCCCACAACCCCCCGCCGGCATTAGGGTGGGCTCTTGGATTAAGTCTCCTATTCATCGGCCTCCGAGCAGCACAATTAGCACAATTAGGGCTTTTATGGAAAATCAGCTCATTATACGAAGTGTAAGGTTGTAAAAATGATTTCGCAAAGAGCACGCTGGGCTCCTGCTCGGCCAGGAAAGGAAGCCGGGATTCCTCAGGACTGCAGGCCTCGTTCGTGGCTTTCAGAAAAGGAAGGTTTCAGCTACACTAAGACCATTTGCTAATTAATAACACCATGAAATGTGCTCAACGAAGAGCTTAGCGTCTTGTAAAGTGCTGGCGTTCGCCCCAGAATGCTCAATTTCCCCTGAAAATCTCAGCCCGTGTGGAGGATAGAGGGGGGTCGTTCAGACCCGTGGGCCAAACAGATCCCTGGGAAGGTCACCTGCCCAGAGCTCACAGGTGAGCGTGTGAACTGATGTAGCTCTCAGCTCAGCGGCTGCAGAGGGAAGAGACGGGAGCAGCTCTGGGCCGGGCTGAGAGGAGGGGCAGAGGGGAGGAAGGGAGACGGGGCTCTGGGTGAGGACCAAGGAGAGGCCGAGGCAACGCCCTGCTCCATGCCCGGGAGGCCCCGCCTTCCCTGGTCTCTCACTTCCCCTGTCCTGTCCTGCGGGCAGGGAAGGGGCACGCAGCAGACTGGGTGCGCAGCCACTGCGCGTTCCAAAGAAAGGACTGGCTGTCTCCCCGCGGGAGGCGACCTCCAGCCTAGCCCTTGGAGTGTCCTGCCTGGTGACATACTCTGATGAGAGGGTCTTTGTATACCTGGGAGCTTGGCCACGTGGAATCTGTGACCTCGGAGGGGCCGGACACTGAGCCACCGCGGCTGGGAGCAGGCGCCCCTCGCCGATGCACTGACCATCAGTGGAGACCTGGCACGCCAGCCCTGGGCGGGCTCCCCGCTGGCGGTTCTCCGTGCCTGTGTCACACGTCACTAGCTCATCTCCACTAAGCGCTCTCCAGAAGACTCTACGGGGCGGGGGGTACGACCGGGGCCCACCCCAGGGGCTTCTGTCAGTTGCCGACTCTGACCTGTGTCCTTTCTCTGTAACAAGCTGCGACTGTGAGCAGAACTCCTTTTCTGCATCCGTGAGTCCCGGTGAATCACAGCGCTCGGAACACACCTTTTACCGTCATTAGAACCATTTGATGAGCCCTTCTCTGGGCCGAGCACCGAGCTCCCAGAGCCCCTGCAGTGCCCACTCTGGCCACGGGGTAGAGAGGCCACGGGACATGGGGGAACGCTGGGTGGTCAGGAGGGAGGGTGCCCACCCCAGGCTCGAGGGGCCTCCGCATTATTGGCAGCAGGACACTCACCCGGGACAGATGCAGGACCAGCCCCCTCCATGCTCCTGACCACCCTCTAAGCCACCAACAGGGTCCCATGGCCGACGTCAGCCCCAGAGAAACAAGCCCTCGGATCCTGCGGATGGGGCGTCACACAGCGCAGCTGGGACCGCGGGCCGTGTTCAGGCTCCAGGCCAGGGAAGGGACACAGCCACAGACGCCCCCCGCCGAACCCCTGGCATGGCTGTGCCAGCGCCTCGCCAGGCCGGGTTACTCATCCGACTCCGGCTCTGCACACCAGGCCTTGATTTGGGGAGAATGTTCAATGGATTTGGAGAAGAGATCAAAGTCTAGTATTTTGTGCAAGAGCAAATAAAACGACTGATTTTTGTTACATGAATTTCATTCCTGGCTGAGAATGTGTTACAAACGGGCGGGGAAGTTCGACCACAAAGCGCACAGTGTTGTCACGCCCGCTGGGAAGAAGGACGGACGATCGCACTGTCTTTGTATCTGGAAATGACACGCCCTTTTTGGTGAAACTTATCTAGACGGTGCCTGGTGCAGAGCCCACAACAGCTGGAAACAGCCTATGCAACGGGGCAGGGCCCCAGGGCCTCCGCGGGTGGGCTGCGTTCTAGACAGTGCTCGCAGCTGGGCACAGGGCTCTGTATGACTTATCCTTTACGCCCTAAATGTGTTATACACGTTCTTTGGCAGGTGCTTTATACTTAATTTTAAAACAGTCTATCCTATGTCTCACATTTATAAAAACCCAAAAACCTCAATTCAAAGGTACTTCCGCGTCCCGAGAGCCCACCAGCAACAGAGTTCCCGGCGGGTTCTCCGACACTGACATCTGCCGGTGACTCTCTGACCCTTAGCAAACAGCCCCCACCAAGGGGCAGCTTGTGCTATCCGAAAGCTGGCACTGTCGCCCTGGGAGCCCCGCCTACGGGCATGCACGGCGCCTCAGGGAGGACATCAGGTGAAGCCCCAGCCCGCAGCTGGAGCACCCTCACGATGCCACCGTGCCCAGGTGTGGCCCCGTCCACTCCACGGACTCCCTCTGTCACCCCAGGCCTCTCGTCCACACCCGGTGGCCCTGTCCCCCGGGAGCCTTCCGGACACGTCAGGGAAGGAGGCTCATCCTGCCCAATCTGGAACCCCATCTCCCTGACACCTCATCTATGGTCAGAATCTGCAGCGACTGTCCTCGTGTGGGGCTGCCGTCCCCTTTCCTGCTGCCCACCTGCCCTTCCGTGTGTCGGAGACGGGAGGCCGGACCGCAGGGGTTCTCCGAGACTGAACTTGGCGACATAAGCAAAGCAGACCGAGTGGAGAACCTCCTCGGGCTGGTTCCTCCAGGTGCCCTGCAGCCCCTAAGCAGGGCAAGCGCCTGGGCCCCACCCCCTTCCTACAGGCAACGCCAGCTCCGCATTCAGGCAGAGCCCGCGTGTGCGTGTGGACGGTGCATTTAGGCAGGCAGCGGTCTGTGAAAGGATTAATTCACTGATCTTATTAGTTTAGTCGAAAGCGATTTTGCAGCTGTCAGTACCACGCTTGCAAGATTTCCTGGCGTGAGCTGGGCACCCCCACCCTCCCAGCCACCACTGACAGGCGACTGGATCACACACTGGAAATTCACGATGAACACCCAGGCGGAGGACACGGCGTGAAACTCCGGCATCTGTGACAACGCACGCTGGTGTCGATGGAGATCAGCCGACCCGCCCTTGGAAGCGCGGCCCGGAGCTCACCTGATCCCTTTGTTCTGGGCGGCGCTGTGCAGCGACAGTCGCGACACGGCAGAGATGACCTGGGGAGACAGGAAAGACACTGCTGTAGTTTCGTGAGAACAGGGACCTGACCTGCAGCTGCAACGGAGGGCTCTGCAAACACTGAGAGCCGTCAACCGCGTACATCTCGTCTTGGTGAGAAACGCGGCGTTTAATGATTTCTAAGGCCGGACAGCTGTTTTGTATTTGTTGTGTGAAATTTGTCATTTTGATGCACTCATATTTGCTGAGGTTTGCGGCACTCCCAGCGCGGCCTCAGAGAGGGGCGGGTCCCAGCTCCCTTGGCCGGGCTGCTGCCTCCCAGCCCAGCTGTTCCCGACCCCTGGGCTGCGACCCACCAGGGGAGGGTCTGCTGCAAGTCTTAACTGAGGTCACGCTTACAAAGGGCTCGTCCCAAACTGCTCTTCTGGAAGTTACCATACGATTACTAACAGCTCATGTTCACACGCGATGCCAGCTCATCTCACAGACAAGGAAATGGAAGCCCAGAGAAGTCAAGTGACTTGCCCAAAGTTGCACAGCAGCTGGGCACCACACAGATGCAGACGTCCAAGTGCAGTGCTTGCCCCCTCCAAGCCCCTCTGTAGGACTTTTAAACAGATGCCCTGCTCCCTGGAGGGGTCGGGAAGGACAGCAAAGAGCTCCTGGTGGAGACCCGCATGACAGGACTGTTGTCGTGTCTCCCCAGGCAGGCAGACTCGCCAAAACGACGCTTCTGAAACCTTCCACAAGGAGTGTGGCCATGCCTCCTTCCTCTGCCCCCCACCCCAGTCCTGAGATCTGGCCACCCTCCCCAGACTCCCGGCGTCCACACACCTCCCTGCTCGAAGCCCCAACGGAGTGTAGCTACTCCGTGGACCTTCAGGTCAGGCAGCAAGGCGGCCGGGGCGGGGCACGAGGCTCCCCCGGGGAATACAGGAAACAGAGGGGGAGGGAGGTGGCCAACCCAGAAGCAGAGCTGAACACACCAGGCGGCAGGAAGCTGCTCACAACTCAGACGACAGCATCAACAGGGCTCCCACTGCGCCAAATCCACGCACGGAGGGTGCAGACGCAGCCTGCGTTTGGAGACCGCAGTGGTGCAAGTGTGTGCGTGTGTTGTGTGCGTGTGCAAGTCCATGCGTCTGTGCACAAGCGTGCTTGTGTGTTTGTCCGTGCACAGGAGCCGTGTGTGCATAAGCGTGCGTGTGTGTGTACATGGATGTGCTGCAAGTTCGTGTGCACGTCGCATGTGTACAGGTCTGTGTGTATGTATGTGTGTGTGTCTGGTGGGGGCAGCAAGACAATGGCCCATGACGGCCACCTGCTGAATCCAGACACTCGCACGGCACTGACCGGCCCAGGCACTGGGCCCAGAGGGCATTGTATGTGTCCCCCCAGCCAAGCCCCGCAGGCCGTCCCGCCCGCACACTCGGTGGACGTGAAAACCGAGGCTCAGTCACTCGCCGAAAGCCCCCAGACTTGCTCTCAGGCTGTTCTGCTTCCTGCAGAAGTTTTTTAAAGGGAGGGAAGAAATAAACCGCACAGAAGGGCCCTCTCCGCCCGGTGAGCCGGCAGACGGCCGTGCCCTGCCTCCCTGCCGTGGCTGCGTTCTGGGGCTGGCACTGACGGGCGTTACAGCGGGGGTGGGGGTGGGGGTGACAGGGCTCCTCTGTGTCTCCCCAGACGGGACTCGGTTGGCTGATTACGCAGAGGGCCTGGCCATGGCTCCCACGCGCCAAGGAGCCTTTCAAAATAGTGAGTAACTTGGTTTTGGCTGTTATTTGTGGCCTTTAAGAGCTCTAAACATTTAAGGGGAATAAAAATTAAAGCAATATTGCTGTAGGTCCTTACTATATGCGATAGATTGCTAGAAATCTTAGAACCTGAAAGGTTTGGCAACTCTAGGGCCCAGGAGCCCCTCCCCGCCCCCCAGACACAGCTGCTGGCCAAACAACTGGCCACTTCTCCTCTCCAGGGGCCGGATGTGGGCTCCTGGGTCTCTCTGGAGTCCCAAGGAGGCACCAGGAACCGGCCAGCAATGACACAGGAGATGACACCGTTCGCAGACCCGAAGTCAGTGCAAAGGCCTGTGCCGGACGGGTGGAACTCAGCACACAGGTGCTGAGTAAGCTGGCCACGGCCAGAACATGGCCTCCCAGTTACAGACTTGCTCGGACAGCTGCTGTGGCCACGGCAGCCCTCGCCCGGAGCTCCAGGACAGAGGCTGTCACCAGCGGTTTGCAAAGGGCTCTCGTGGGCTCGCAGTGCAGCCGGGGTTAGATGCGGCCAGCTACACTTCCTGCTTCCCGGCTGGCGTCTCTGTGGAGAGGGGGAATCTTGGGGGCCCACTAAGAGGGACCCCGCTCCAGTGGCCCAGTGCAGGGGGCCTGGGGAGGGGGCTCCCAGCAGGGGCTGCTGGGAGCAGACAGGGGACCCCTGAGACAGCCACAGGGTCAGATCTGGGGTGGAGGTGGCCACACATGGAACCCTCGGTCCTGAAAGGTTACGAGTGGGAGTCGCCTGCCTGCGGGGGAGGGACGCCCCACAGTGTTCCCCGAGGCACCTCTGGCTGTGGCCTGTCCCACTCCCAGGACAGAGAGCTGGGTGTCCCCAGGGGCAGCGATCTCAGCGATGATCAAAAGCCTCCAGGCCCACAGCCCCAGCTGGCTCTTCTGAGAACATAAATGTCAAAGGATGACATTTTCCCAACTTTTATTACCTCCTCCCTGGGCCAGTTAACAAATGAATGAAGACACACCCCCTCCCCCTCACCTCCCCACCCTCCCCCACAGATGCCAGCTCCGTCCTGACCCAGTTATCACCAGTCGGCAGAGCTCACCCTGGGCAGAAGGAACACGCGTGTGCTGGGGGCATGACAAGGAGGAAGATGTGCCCCCCCAAGAGGACCGGGCCTGTGGGAGTCTCCTGTGTGGCTGACTCCTGACACCATGGCTCTGTGCCACTCCCTGATGTCTGCCCCGGGCCTCGCACACACCCACTGCCCAGTTGGTGGGAGCTCAGAGGGGACTGGACAGCCCAGAGGATGGTGGCGGGTGGGTCTGGGTCCTGGAAGACAATCTTGGCCCCGCCCCCACCCGGCCCTCCTACTCTGACCTCAGGTCCCCAGACACCAGCAGCCATCAGCTTCCGCCATCCATGGGAGGAGCTCTAGAAGGCAGCCCCAGACCCCACCCAGAGGCTCAGGGACCCAGGAATTTGCATTTACCGTTAGGCCCCACGTGGCTGAGACGTGCAGCCCGCATTGGGCACCCCCATCCCTGGGGAACTGGGTCAGACAGGTAACGCCACAGACGGGGTCAGGGCGGGAGCCGGTCCCGGCCGTCCACCTGTCCAGCTGTAATTCCCGCCTAAGAAAACCTCAGACCACGGCAGCGGTAAACACAGGGCCCCAAGTCTCAGGTTCGGTAGAAAATGACAAAGCCTCAGTGACCCTCTGACTCGAAGCCCAGACACTGGGGAAAACCTGAGTTCAGGTAAACTTCTGCAACAAGACTTGAGCACTTTGGCTTCATCACAACAAATGTCCCAACTAAGAACAGAGACCCTATTCTCACAAGTATTGTCAACTTAAACACTCACAGTCAAAACTCAAGACAGGGCCAGGGAGAAAACAAAAATCTGTGCTGCAGATTCCTCTCAGGAGGACTCACCCAATCTTGCACGGCCTTTTGTGAAGACCCCAAACGTCTAGCTATTCACACGGGGTCTCCTCCCGCTGATTCCCAGGTCTTCGTCTCTCTGTGCTGTGTTCTTAGTGACTTCCTCAGTTCCATCTTCTAATTCACTAATTCTCTCTTCAGCTCCGCCTAGACCACTGTTTAATCCACACACTGAGTTTTTCATTTCAATAACTACAACTTTCATTTTGAGAACTTCTATTTAGTTCTTTTTTCAAAATCTGCCTGTTCTTTTTGTCCTGTTTATTTGGTCATATTTCCTGTGCTTTTGCATTCTATTCCTTTTTTTCTAGGGTAGAAATTCTCGCATCTACTGCAACTGCTGACTCCCCGACTCATGCTGACCTGTTTCTTTTGGAGCCCCAGACAGCTAGCTAGGTAAACATGCGCAGGTACACAAACACACGTGTATTACGTAGAAACACATATATACACAGTCTTATCCTGTAAGTTCATCTTCAGCAGGAGCTGCTCTCCACAGGCAGGGGGACCCCACGGGCTCCGAGAGGCACGGCTGGGAGGCTCTGCTGGTTTCCCCGCGGCTTTCGGATCCCACCCCGGGGAGACCATCAGTGCAGGGTGGAACCCCGCGAGAGCTGTGGGTTCCCTGCCCAGCCCAGGGTGGTCGGCTGCTTCTGTGCCTGGGCCGGGGGTGCAGCCTCCCTAATCCCCACTGCATGGAGCCCCCCCACCCCCCGGCCTGGTGCAGCTTCCCGCGTGGGCCTCAGTCCCAGCTCTCTAACCTCCACGCGCTGCCACGGCCCAGGCTGCAGGACTCACGGGGACGCGGGCCTTGGCACGGGCTTCTGGCTTTGATGTCCCTCTTGGTTCCTGACAACTGAGGCTTTCCCTTTCTGGCTTCCAAGTCTGGTAGTAATTTTTAAATGTGTGTTACTTCATTTACACCGGAATCTATGTCACTGGGGGCGGGGGCGTGCTCGCTCAGCCTACGGCATTTACCAGAAATCTCGGGACCTTCAACAGTACAAGAATCTCCAAGAAAAGCAGTCAAATCCCCAGTGGGAAGGGACCCCCGTTTACTGAGACCCATCTCGGGAGCGGGGACAGGGTTACGTAGAACCAGTCGGCGCAGGCAGCTGCCCTGCCCTGCTTTAAAGAAAAGCTGCCACTTCTGCCGTGGAGATGGCAGGGAGGAGGCCGAGGTGCTGCTTGTTTTGGTGCATGCCACGGGGGGGTGGCAGGGGGTGGTGACGGGAAAGTGACAACCGGCCGGTCCCTCTGGGTCACACAGGTTGCGCCTCTTACAGCCGGGCAAGCTCCCAGCCCTGCGAGCCTCCGCTTCCTCACCTGTGAAACTTGGTCCTAACACAGCCCTCCTA